AAAAAGATTCCCTTCTCTTCTTCCCCAAGTCTTTTTCATTGTCTCTTCATTGCATCCTCTTATTAATCCTCCAGATTTTTTTCAAGAGAAACCCCAGCTTCATTGTTTTTTTTCTAATCATCCCCCTAATTTCTTAGCTCTAAATTCTGCATGTTAAGTGTCTTAAAACAATTTTTTGTCTTAATTATTGCCTGGCTTATTCCCAACAGAGGACACTGCCACTGATTCTTTGTATATGAATTTTTCCTCCCACCACTCTAACCTGAGTGTTTATTTTCTCAATTCTGTGTTTCAAAAGGCCAGAGTCAGCTGAGCAAAAAGTAAATTCCACTGAGAGTGGAACTGGATGAAAATTCTATATAAAGAAGGATGAAGTAGTGATGGGAGAAAGCTGTGAATACTGCTGAGAAATCTATGGTCTTCATCATGCATTTCAATTTCCATTGGGCTATTGGATTTTGTGGCTATTTATTAATTTCACTTCTTACTGAAAAGAGACTTAAAGCTTAATAAATGTTTAATTCCTATTTCTTAATTAGTTTTGTGATTTACTGGATTTTATTTAGGACCATTTGAGGAAGCAGATTCTGTTTAAGTTCTCACTCTTTAGCTATAGCTATTTTTTATGTAACATTTGCTCTTAAAACTCATGGTTTTGTATTGTTTTATGAATTCTTAAGAGTATGTGGGAAAAGACAAAACTGAAACATTCAATAGGACATTCATAATAGTCACACCATCCTACACAAGTGATGTGTAAAATGAATCATGGCAGCCAACGTGTTGTTTTAGGACTTACCTACTTAATTACCTTGGCCAGCCCTATTTCTTTGTTTCCAACTCAAAAAGTACACATTTTTTTAAAGTTCTGATAGACTTCTGATGTTAATCTTCAGGAAAAAAGACTTTAAGTTTCTATACATATGTCAGTGTTCTTTCAATTTAAGAAAAGTAGTATTTATGAGCTAACTGGAGTAAGAGGAAAGAATTTAGAGAACTATGTTGGTGCCCATACATGTGGTAAGTGACTGTGAATAAATGAGCATTGTAGGAGCTGAAGATGTAGCCAACAAATATGACAGGGAGATTGTGGTCATAGAGTAAGAACATATACATACATTATAGCAGGTGCAGTCCTGGAGAGAAAAGTTAACTTGCATTATATAGACTCTATTCTAGAGAATGACTTTTTAGCTATACTCTGTCAAGCTAATATCAATTAAAGTTACAGAAACATTATGTTTGATTTTGGGTGAATGTAGAGTCTTATGAATCATTGTTCTTTTCAATTTTTGTATTGACAGGGCTTCATGACAGTTATTAAGAGTCTGGGAGCTACTAAGTATGTCAGTGATATGAAAAGTTTAACTGGAAGCCAAGTTGCAGAAGGATAAAAAATGAGGAGAAGCAAGAAATGAGAAAGCATGGATTGATATTTTGAGAAACATGAGCCATGAAGGTAAAAAGGTAACAAGAGAAGTTTACCACATTTGTGGAAAAGGGTAAAATCAGCTAAAAGAACAATTAATAGACTTCCCATTAAGGTTGAAGAAAATTGTTTAAGAATCTCAGATGAAGGAACAAATCTTAGCTATGAAGTAGGAAGCTTCCTCCTTCCCCAGGACCATGAAGAAAGAGTCGTGTAGCACTCATGTCTAAACTGAGGTTACAAACAATAAATAAACATTGCTATAAATCTTTCATTCTCATCCAAAAGGTGAACAGAGACAAGGGAAGATCCTTTGGCTGATGTTGACAGCAGAAAGACCTGAGAGTAAAGAAATTGTGAGCCTTGAGAAGAAAATTTATCAGTGAATTCCAGAGTAGGAGAAATATTGCTGAGGAAATGCTCTTCTTGAGATGATAAAAAAGGAGATGTGGTACAAAGTAGAAAGTTCATGGACTATAGTTAGGTAGTTTTGCTAATTTTGACTTTATAATCAAAGATAGTCAAGATCTCCAGTCTTCAGCTGTACAGATGGAGAAGAGAAGCTAGAGGCGCTCCAGTTTGTTTCATTGGCTAGCATTTGTTTGTCCCAAGGTTCCCAGTAGTGTTTTATCCTTGTGGCCTGAGTAAGATGAACTTAAATATTCACACATCCCCTTTTGCCCCAATGGCTTGAGAGCTTTCCTGGACTTGAGCTCAGTGTTGTTTGATACTTACTTTCTTCCAAGTTTCACTTAGGCTCCACTTGGTCTTTACTGTCTGTGTAATGATTATATGAAAAAAGAGAACAACACCAAGAGGAAAGTAGTCATACTCTCTTTGCTCCTCTATTTCAATTTTTTTGGTGGTACTGGGGGTAGAACTTAGGGCCTCATGCTTGCTAGGCAGGCGCTTTACAATTTGAGTCACTCTATCAGTCTTCAAAATATGTTCTTAGCAGTGAAACCATGGGTATCTGGGAGGACTGTATTTTGTTGCTCACTCATTTGAAAGCCTTGAGGTGGAGAGGGCAGGGTGGATACATTAGACATTGAACTTCTGTCTCAGAGGCATTGAACTGCTGGGGGTGTGGATAGGAGAGAAAAAATTATTAAAGTCATGTAAGGCATTATTGTAAGGGAAAGAGAGTGTGTATGAATGTATCTATGTGTATGTGTGTGTAGTAGGGGGATAAAGAGTGGATGTTATACAAACTTTTAGGGGATTCTCATGAACACATCTTTATCCTGATTATGGATTACTTCCCTGCAGATAAGTAAGTAGGAAGCATAGTTGTGATTTTGGGGTTCAGGATCTAGAGGTGAGATGGTTCTGGTAGATGATAAAGTCTAGGAAGTGGGTTACTAGAGTAGAATGGAAGTGAAACTTTTTGGAGTAAAGGCCAGGGAAGGGAAGCTGGAGGGTTACATACATCCACAACAGATGCCTCCGGCTTTGGGCTTGTCCTTTATATCCTGCAGAACTTTCTCTAGCAGCAAGTATATAGTATGTAATCAATAAATACTCTTAATAGACTTGGTATGTTTCAGAAAAATGTGTTACTTTTAATATCAGTATGTGAGCATGCAACATTGCTAAATACAAAAGTCATATAAGCTCACAATGATTTCAGAGACTGCCACACTTTTTAATTAAACAATTTAGGGCCATTGAGCCATCATAAAATATGGATCCTCTCCTGTTTTTACTTGATGAATATACATTTTTCTCCCTACTACTTACAGGTTTCACTCAGAAGATTTGCTGTCCAACCATTACATTTCTTTACCCATTATAATTATAATATCATTTATTTCTAAAATGGTACATTATTATGCACCATTATTATGCACCATTATTATGTCCTAGAAAGGTTCAAATGTAGGGCATTTACAGTAGTATGCTATGAGGGTATTGCCTAAAAATTAGAATCTGTGATTTTTTATCAATTGGAAAAACAATTCTATGAATTTCGGATAGACATGTATGGGTATAGGATGCTTGTGGTTGAGAAAAAGTAAATTTGACAAGTTTATACTTGTTGCAAATGAATAAAAAGCTGAAACCTTCATGTCTCTAAGTAAACAAAACGAATAGCATAGAACATAGGAAATTTGAATCATACTAAGTTTATAGACCATGTCTCAGAAAAGTATCTTTTAGGAAAATACCTTTAAAATAATCTATAATTGAATGTCTTTTTATAAAAATGTTCACTTTCTAGGATTTAGTCACATCTGTGTTATTACTTACTAGGTAATCTTGAGAAAGACAAGTCCTCTTTCTGAAACCCACTTTCCTTCTCTAAAATATGGATGACAAGCGGGTCTAACTCTAAAATTTTCCTTACAGATAAACATGCTATGTAACTGGCTTCACTTTAAAGGCATGTGCAATGAGAAAGCTCCTTGAGACAGATTAAACATGGATTCGGATCGTCATTTCATCACTTACTAGCTTTTTAAGCTTGGAAAAATTATAACTTATTGAGTGCTAACTTCCAGTATGTAAAGTGGGATAAGATACTTTCCCTAAATGAGAATATGCTCTCCAAAATGATTAGCATAAGAATAGTTGGTTAATAGACACCCAATGCCTGTTACTAAATAAATTCCTTGATCTCCTACCCTTTCCTTCTGTCCTAAAGATTCATATCCATGAACATTATTGATAAATAAAAGACATTAAAATAAAAATAATAAAATTTGGAAGATACTGTGCAAAATCTATAGGAAGTGGATGATTTGGAAAGTGATTTTTATCTCCCCAATTTGAGAATGCCTCCAGGTTGAATTCAGCAGACAAAGTAGCAGTAAGAGGTCAAACTAAATCAAAAGCTCTGTATGACTTTGTAATTTAACAGTATTTATATATTTAAAGACAAGCATGGCACTACATGCATTAGTAATAGTGTATCACACAAGATTATAAATCTTCCACATATACTCAGCACTGGTTCTAAACTTTACAAAATCACATGAAATTAGTTTGGAATTCCACAACTTTAAGAAAGAAGAGAACTTCAGTTTCACAAGAAAGCTATAGTAAATGAAGACATTGAAAACACCATTATTTGGGATGGATGTTTAAAACAGGTTATCAAGATTGTCTAACATAATCCCAGGAACTTCTGTTCTTACTTTTGAGTATATCAATGGGTGGGTTTGTTTAAATTTTAACTGAACTTTCTGGCCCCTGGTGGGTTACAGAGAAGAAAGTACCCTAAAATTTAATTTGTCATCTTTCTGCAGAAAGACTTACATTGTTAACTTTTTGTTGTTGTTGTTTCTGGTAACATCTGATTTACACTAAATGATACTAATGCTCTCATCCCAGTCAGCAGAAAGTACTGTAAAGGGAAGTATGCAAAGTCATACTTTTCATTCTGTCTGTAACGACAAGGAAAGGCTGAGTTCCCAGCATAACCACATGATTACCTGTTGAAATGCTGCTCTTGCTACTTCACCTGGAAATGTACCTAAGTCATAGAGAGCATCTAAGTGGGCTCTTTATTGTAAAAAGACTTCCTCTGTTCTGCTATTTGTCCAGTAATTCTTGAACCATTGTATATTACTGGTTCTTATTTTTTGCCACTGACAAATTGTTTTTATAATACTGACCAGAGGGATTACATAGTTCACAGAAACTTTCCATAAAAAGAACCATAATATCAAAATATAGCATAGATCATCAACAGTATCAGTGGAAATTTTGTTAGCTTCTAATGGTGATAATTATATCAGAATGCAATTCACACTTATTATTAGTAAAAGTTTACAAACATTAAAAAGTGCATAATAACATTTGGATCTGATAGGGCTGAAAAAAAATGAAAAACACAACATGAGTGCTTTACTTTTGTGATTGGTGTCCACATGATTGCAAGACTACTTTCTCCACCCTTTTCAGCCAGGTAGAGACAAATTGTTCTCTAGATTTAAACAGTAGCATGTACATTATGAGAAAATTGATTCCATAGAGAAAAATATTTCCAGTTCTTAGTATTATCTTGACTTTTCTTTTTAAAAAATTCTTCAAAATTCTTAAAACTAAAATTAAAAATGTTAGCTGGGAGAATTTCCTTATTTAGGGAATAAAACAAAATTGACAAACTGAATTCTGGTCTGTGCAGATACCAAACAGACTGAATTCTGGGAATATTCACATCAGTGGATATTTTCAAATGCCTGTATAATAGAGCAAAGGAGCTTTGATGAATCCTTTGGACTTAATTCAACATACAATTATCAAGAGGAAAGATTGTATTTTTAAAAAGTATGTTGTATCCTGTGTACACCACCACACTATGGAAAATTAAGAAAAAAATGCAGCCCTTTAAAAAATAAGTGGTATAAAAATTCACAGTAATGTACATCATTTTGTTTTTCATAAGCAATCAAAGAAGGGGGCAGTGCTGAGCATTTATATTATACAATACAAAACAGTGTGTAAATAACACAGCAGTAACACACAGATACATAATGCTAAAAACAGTGCTTTCTGGATGGTTCTTTTACTGGGTGACTACTCGGCCAGAGATATTTAAGCTCTGGGGTTCAACCAACCCTTTGCAGTTAGACACAATTAAATCCTCTGACATTGTGAGGGGCCAGATGCTACAGGAATCATCATCTAGGTCAGTGCTACGCTCTACAAGCATTTCATCTTATGGTCAAGTGAAAGGATCCACACAAAAATGACATCCAAACACAAGCCACATGATTTCAACCATTGCTAGTGACAGAGGTAGAGAAAAGTCTGTCTGCAGCCATAGCCTCTGCTCCCATTTTTAATACAATAAGGAGCAGCGTCCTGCCATGCAGCACAGCCATTTTCTTTTCCCTCTTTTCACTCATGGAAACAAATGCATTCCAGCAATGCCTGCATATTTGCAACATTGTCAGATGTTGATGGTCAAAGTGGAGTGTTAGCTTTCAGATTTTGCTGCTTCTCCTTGGGCTTCCCCACTTTGTTCTGTGGAATTTCGCTGTGCATCATCTTCACCTTCTATAAGAGAAAATGAAAATAATGATAAAGGCAAATCAAAAGCTTTTATTTACGGACGGTCATTATATCATATTGGAAGCTTTAGACATACTCTGATGTCTGCAATCCTCATAGAGGCAAGTGTATTTTCTTAGTAGTCAGTTTACCATCAAGAAAATAGTGCAAGTTTTTAAAGCTTGGTCTACTCGATATATGGACAGCATGACTCAAAAACAAAATACATTTGAATTTTCAGAGTGGCTAATGATTAGCGATACTCTTGATAAATAGGCAGCAAATCTCATGACCAGATCATGGCATTCAAGTACAGTTTTACAGGTTGCAGAAATCAGTAGTGTCTTGAAGCAAAAATCAGAGGTGGAAGCCTTTTTAGACTCTCTTATTTGAAAAAATATTTTAAAATTGTATTTGTCATTATTTACAGCACTTGAGGATAACACAACTGATTTCAGGTTTCTTTTGGTTTCTCAAGGTTGTATTAGTTCAAATTAAAAGCAATAATGCAAGATGAAAGGACATTATGTTAGTTGGTCAGTGTCTTTTCCAATAGTTACAGTGGTCTCTGGGCTGCCCTTAGAAAAAACATGAATAATTCCAATAAAACCCCCCTCATAACTGTACCTACAGCAGCAATTTTGCAAGTGACATAGTAAACACTGAAATTTAATAGCACTTTCACTCCATATTTGGTCACTTTGTCTTAGTGCAGGCTATAGGAAATCACTGAAATATATGTATGTGTCATTTTGTTACTGGGCAACCAAAATGACAAAATATTTTGGAGGTATTGCAATAAGAAGTTATATTAGTATTTTTCTAAGAGTTTGTTATCATATTTCAATAGGTGAGTGTAAGTAGATTGGCATATTCTTTGGACTGTAGTATTGAAAGACAATTTATCCTTACTCCAAAAATATACAAACAAAACATCTCTCCATACTTCAATAATATTGTCTTTATGGAAACTGAAAGAAGTTTTACATGAAAATCATATTTTGTTCTAAAGCATGACCCAGGATATAACCTTGGCATTATATATAATAGATTACATATCACAGTTATACAACATTTTCATATACTGTTTTTATTATTAAAGTAATGAACAAGTTTCCAAATGTGCAGATGGTATGAATCGAGGATGTAGGGATTAGCATGTTACAGAAACTTGATAAACAGGAGAAGCTCTTGGTAACCAAAGGAATGAAGCCAAATTGGGGCAGATGTAAGGCTAGTAGAAAATTTAGGGATGAAAGTGACTGAATAAATACAAGATGAAGAATTTGATTCCCATGAGGTTTTGGATTTTCTGGTGTCTGGAGATACTCCTGTGGGCTTAGCATTATGCTGCTAACAGACATGTTAGCATACTGATTAACAGTTAGATACTGATTAACAAGTCATGAAGCAGCATAAACTAAAACAAAGTAGAAACAGGAATTACAAAGGAAGCGCCTCAGAATTCTCAGTGATGCTACATCTGCCACTGTATATTGACCATTTTTTTTGTATTTTAGACTTCCATACTGTACATTTATTACTTGTAATTCTTTGTACTAAGAATAATAAAGTCAGTGCTGTTTATAGTTTGCCTAGTTCTAGACTTTATGATATGAAGAGAAACAGAAAATTTTCCAAGGGCGTAGAGGATTACAATTAACATGCAGAAATGTTTAGAAAAGAAGATATTTGGAAGCATGAAACTATTTGAATTAATTCAAATTATGCAACTGTAATATACTTAACACAAAATATAATTTTTATTCATTATATTTATTAATATGCAATCTCATTTATTATTTAAATTGTTAACATTTCCTAATATTAAGGATGGCTAAAATTAATTCAGTTATTTAAAACAGAATGTGCATGTAAAATTAAAATATAAATTTTATAAAAGAAATGAGCAAATTCTCAAAGACATAGACAAATGTATTCATTCGTTCCATTAAAACAAACTGTAATAATCTTCTACTTTGGGAAGTAAATATTAGTAGTAATAGTGGAGAAATAATGAAACTTAAAACATACTTAGATTTATATTTTCTGAAGTGGTCATGTTAAAGTTTTATCATTAATCTGAAGTTGAAAAAAAAGAATCTGTGATCTATTGACCTTTATCCATCACATAAAGTTCTATTTGTAGTTTAACATTATCATTATAATTAACATATATATAATGTGACTCAGTTTTCCAGTACTATGAAGACTTTGTTAGAGAAAGTCTAATAGTAAAGACATATTGAATGTTACAACTAGAATCAGAAATTAGTATGTGTTTTTCTCATGTACTTAACTGTGTATTCTTTTTACCTTTAAAGGTTATTTTTGCACATGTCTTCTCAAGTAAACACATTTAGCTTTAATATTTTCAAAAGTTATGGATGGAGAAACTGTCAGTGGATTTATTCTAATACTCAGGAGTAAGGCTATTAACTATTTTAATGTATTTAACCTGTTTTTCTTTTTCATTATTAGTAAAATCAGACTACAAGGATACGCAATAAGACACATTTTCACAAATCCATTCAACCATGAAGAGAAAACTAAAAGGCCCCTTTTCCTAAGAATTACTTATATAACAAACTATTTTATTTCCCAGATAAATTGGTCCTGGAGACCCTTTTCTTCTGAAGTGCTTTTTAGGACTGAGGTTCATCAGACACACTTATGAATCTTATTAAGTACCTATTAAATGTGGAAGGAGGCCAATATTATTAATTATAGGAGCTCCAACTATATTTCATATTCTATATAAGCAACTTCAAAGCTTTTGTAGAGATTAGGATTACAAAATGTCATGTGTTTTATGGTTGTATTAATAGAACTAGGTAAGACTCTGCATTTGAGTGGGAATCCCTTTAAAGTCATTAGAACAGTGGGAGTAATTAAGAAACTCCTAGTAGATTTTCATCTTGTCTACACTTTTTATCTCTGTCAGGTTACTTTCAAATGTGGCTTTTCATGCCCTAATCCTAGTTAGTGCAATGCAATAAATTATTCTTATATGCATAGAAAGATGTGTATATATTTGAAATAAAAACATTTGTAAATGCCATAATATACCTCCACCCAGCACAATTAAAAAATAATAAATAAAAAAGAAAAATGTGTATCAAATGACTCACCTGTCTTGTTGATATCAAGACCTGCTAATTTCAAGGCTAATTCATTGCTGTTGCCACTTGCAGAGGAAACCAGGATATCATGTATTGCATTTCTTCTACCTGTTCTTCCTGAAGCAATAAAATCTGCATATGTAGTTTCCACATCAGTCATTGCTAACAAATATCCACATAGCAGGGACTACAATAGAAATAAAAATTAATAAGTAAATATAATATTAAACAATCATAAACATTTTACAAAGATATTTATTAAACTATTCACCTATAATGTGAATATGAGATCACTGTCTTATTAACAAGTAATGCATTTGATTCATACCTAAGTATTTAGATTAAAGGCCAGGGAGCTTTTTGTGTGCAGGGTGCAATGATAGTAAATATTTGGACTTTGAGGATTGTATATTCTCTGTTTCAACTACTCCACTTTGTCCTTATAGTTTAAAAGCAGCCATAGACAATAAATTGAACAGATATAATAAACTTTATTTACAAAAATAGAGGACCAGTTTAGCACATGTGCTATTGTTTGTTGAAACCTGGTTTAGATCATGAAATTCTCATTCTCTAATAACATTTTAGCCATGAATTTGAGATCAAGAATGGAAATGCTACAACCTAGGGTTAAGTACTAAGAAAGTACACTGTTCGTGTGTAAGAATACCAAAGAAATTAACCCAAATCTAGTTTGTTTTTTAGTATCACCATACACGAACAATTCTAAACACTTCCAGTGATCAAATATTCCCTCAGTCCTCTGCTTGCTTTGGTAAGTCGTTTCTTGAGAGGAGTAACAAACTCTCTTGATTGAATCTTTGAAATGAAATTTTTGAATCTGCAGTAAGTGAAAGTGAGTTTTGACCAACAAAACTGGTGGTATACATATTTGAAACTGTTATAGTTTGTGTATTGAATGTCCTCAAAAGGCCTATATTTTGAAGGTTTTGTCCCCAGCCTGTGGGATACTATTGGTACATAGTAGAACATTTAGGAAGTGATGAAGTTAGGTGCTTGGGAAAGGAATATTATAGCCATGGGCCCTCTTCTTCCTTTTTGGCTCCTGGGTGCCATGAGTTAAGCAGCTCCTCTGTCCTGTGCTTCCACCATGATGCACTGCCTCACCACAGGCCCAATTTCTAAATGAAGTAGTTTTGGAAATGAATTTGGAAATTCTCTCCTCTGGCCATAGTCAGCTTTTCTCTTTCTTTTACACTTAATAGATCAATTCTTCACACTGATACTGTCTTTAATTCCTTTAGCCCTTTTTATCTTGGTGTCTCCTAGGTTTTATGGTATGTGAATCAATCACCCACCAGTTCCATGTAGCTTTGAATTAGCATTAAAAAGCCCTTTGATCTATTTTCACCACAGCTCTCCTTTCTTCTCCTCACCACTGGGGAAACTCCATAGTATACTTTCTTTGATCCTACTACTGGGTGACAGAGTGTTACCAGAAAAAGTTATAAAATTGTGCCAGTTGGCTCAATTAGAAATTTCTGATTATTATTAGTAGACACTCTGAGTTGTGCAGAAGTTCTTTATTCACCTCTAGTTGACTCTTACACTTTTCTCTGTGGGAAGGATTCACAGCCCTTTTCAATCCACATGTCTGACACCACCTTCCTTAGTTGATGACTGTATCTTTCCTCTCTGAGAAGTGACAGAATCTCTACTGTAAGTTCTCGTAAAGTTCTTCCTTTCACAGAAACATTTCTATGTACTTTTTTTTTCTTTTCTAGATGAATTGTCCTCTTTATTTTTAAGACTTCATTTATTTCCCATTTTATTTATGTCCACTTCTCATTAACTTGACATGCCACTCTGCAGCATGTTTTTATTTCTCTTCCTTGATATCCATGTCTAATCACTTGGCATATAGTGTTAGTTTTTACTTGGTGTCACTCATATTTACTCTCTGTTAAACATAGGAAACTCTTACTGTAGGACTATTGATGACTACTTACATTTTCCGAGTTTCTTCTTGCCTCAGTCTATCCGAAATAGTGCCAGAGTCACATTTGGATCTTTCTCAAAAACCTCCAAAACTTAATCCACATTACGAATTCTCTTAACATTTCTTTGAAGGCTTTCTATGATCTGGACAGGACCCAATTTTGCTATTTTATCTTCAGACACTTCCTCTCATGTTTGGTATGTTATAGACTAATGTACAATATTTTTCCAGAGCTTCTGTGGTAGTATATTTGCTCAAGTCTATTATGCCATCAAGAATGGCTTTCCCTATTAAATTTGCTTGTTGAAAGGCATCTAGCCTCAAAATTCAGCCAAAAATTGCCCTGTCTTTCATCACTCTTCCTATAACTTTAATTAGCACTCTATGGGCCTGATTTTTGCCTGCACAGGGCATTTACATTCTAATCAGCATTACTGTAACCTCTCCTTCTAGACAGATTGCAGCCTCTGAAAGGACAGGAAGTGTGTTTTGTTAATATTTTAGTCACAGCAATTCCTAGCACAGTCCCTTGCACATAGTCAGTATTAAATGAAAATGTGTTAAGTAGAAATGATAAATGAGGAAGAAACATACTAATTACTTTTCGTTAGAAGCCATATAGAACTTCCCTGCTTCTTTATTATACTAAATTATCAATCCTAAAAATTCATCTACTTCAATCTAGAACTTTTTACAGATGAATATGAAAACCAGATAGTACAAGTGATCTGCTCATCAGTTAATTAAGTTCCTGGAACTTCCTTGTATAAACTTCTACCACACTCTATTTTACAATTTGCTTCTATAATTTGGAATTTGAATACAGTTTTTGATACTGGGGTAATTCAGTGCTACTAGTTACAAAGACATTTACGTTATCTATCAAGATTAAATAACACACTGCTTAGTCTCCATGTTACTTTGAAGGTTTAGAACTGAATTTATGTATCAGTCTAGCAAATACATCTTATAAATATTCAAGGGGAGGTGAATTTAGAGGAATAAGCTCTTTCTGCAATCATTTTCAGTCTCTTTTTATGGCTTTTTTTTTCAAAATATAGGCTTTAAAAATAGTACAACTGCTATTACTCCAAAGTAATAAACACATGCAGGGAGACATATATAAGTATATGATGTGCTCACCTTTAAAATGTTCAGATGTAGATTTCATTTGATTGAGTGATAGAAAGTTGTGAGATCTTATTCATGTAAGTTTACTCTCCCATTAAGCACTTTTGAAATACATTTATTAGATTGATGTGCATCCAATTGTACTCCTTTAAAGTGACATAGGAGCTATATACTGAGCATTCAATTATAGTAGCCATTATAACTATGATAATAATAGCTGATATAAAGGTAGCATTTCATTCTTTATTATGCTTCCTTTCTCTAGACAATAGATTTCTTTTATGACAAAAGGACATATGTGACAAATAGCACACATTAAATATGTAAATGAAAGAATACAATAAAATTTTCAACAAAATATATAAATGCTATGTACTCTATATTTTTATCTTTCCATTATTATCCTTCTAGTGAATTCCTATTAGGTGCTGAAAAATAGTTATTTTTACAAGCATCTTCTCTCTGTCTCTCTCTCTCTCTTCAGTCCCAAACATTTAACATTGGTCAGTTTAGTGATAAAACTTCCAAAGATCCAGAAGTGTCTTTTAGTTCAACTATATCTGTATAGTTGACTATAGATGACTTGGACTTTTGCTTAGAAATTCTGGAAACCTATCACAAAAATTATGTCTAACAGATATTCACAAACATACAAAAAAGACAAATTTTTAAAAAGTCAAATAAATGTCAGCAGGTTAGAAAAAGGCCCTAAAAAATGTACCCAAATTGGACTTTGATTCTTCATTAGAGTTTCTTCTTCATGGTGCTGTAATTGGAATTTTCGACATGTGAAATTTCTAAAAATTCAATAAAAATTCATGAATAAGAAATAAGCTTGCTCTTTCTTTTCTCCCATCTTAAAAAATTAGCCTCAGTTTCTTACTCTGTAACAGCAGAAACAATAGTACTGCTCTGAGAATTCTTCCTCAGTTCCTGAACTGAGATATATAATTCATGTTGGTCTTTTCCTAGTTTATGCCCTTTACCTAATATCATATTCACAAATGATATGAGAGAATAAATCAGAGGTCTTACTCTAGTATAATTTACAAATTTAAATAGACTTAAGAGTCTGTGAAAATATGTACTTACGTTTCCTATATTAGACAAATTGAAGTGTTCCTCATCGATGTATCCTAGAAGAAGCTGGGCCTATCAAGCTGCTGAAATGATTTTTATAGTGACATTGAGTCATGAACCAAATGGTGACTGGAGAACATGCTAATTTTACTCCTGTAAATGGGACACATGAAATGAGACTCACAGACTTGGAAGAAAGAATGGAGAGAATGTTATCAGCATGCACTTAAGATTTCTAATATGAATAGAATGATTTCTTATAAAAGTATAAAAGAAAAAGAAATTCTTCCTGTTGTACTACTACAAATATGATTATCTAATTTGTCAACTGTGACTTTATGAAATTATGTGAAGTGTGTTAAAAGCCTTTGAATAGTTAACTATATGCTTGGTGCTTGGCCAACATTCATGATTCAGAATTGTTTTGGTCTCAGGTATCTGCAACATTTCAAAAGATTATGGAGAACGCCAGTGAGCTTTCATTTAGGTGGAATAAGTCTACTAACATCAACCATATAAGAAATGAAAAAAAAAACTGTAAACAATTTAAATATTTATTCACTCAAAAATACCAATAAATACATTATGTATTGATAGAAATATTTTTAAAGAAAATGAAATATATTTTCCAAAGCAATAAATAAAGGCAAGAATTCTATATAGTTTCACATTTGCAACTCTGGCTTAATTTTTGCAAATGTCTAGCTTAATAAGAGACATTTGGTTTCCTAAATCTGTGACTATATTCAATCTGTTTCAACATGTTGTTTTAGTTGAAATTTATGAAGAAAATCTGGTCTCATACAGATTTTTTTGTTTGGAAAAGTGACAAGAATTTTTAAGTCTTTGCAGATACTTGTGGACTTTATCATTGTGCAATCTAAAACTACAACAATATGCTTTGTATACCGTCTGGTTAAAATCTCCATTGTCTATCTTGCATGTTGTATGGATCTTTTGTCCATGAATAAATATATATAATAAATTTATAATATATAATAAATATGCACATATGTTTAATATAAGGCATTAATCATTTAGAAAATATTGGTTCACTTGGTTACATAAATTTTCCAAGTAGCAGAATCATTCATTATATAATATATTTGTTACTAATGCCACCTGTTTTATCAGAAAAGTCTTTAAGAATTGACAAACTGAGAAGTTCATGGGGCCAGATAATAAGTGTTTCAAAATTGTAACTTTTGTCTGAAAGCCCAGATATTGGCAACAGATACTATTGGATTTTGTTTTCCTTGCAGTGACAAGTTTCCTTTATTAAATCTTTGCCAAATGCTCAACTTTGACTAACCAGTTTGCCTTAGAGTTGCTCTTTCTTCTAAAAATGGTGATCCATTTAAAAAGTGTTTGGTTTTTCTATCAACTGAAATAGTTGCACAGGGATTTACTTGAAACAACCTGTACTTTAGTACATGGTAGAGTGATTCATAGCACTTCCCATTCCGTCACATGGGATAGTGAAAAGATGTGTATTCAAGGGTTGAGATTCAACAAAAATAAGACTTTTTACTGCTCTGTCAAATACATTCATTAAAAAATATTGATTGTGAGTGTGTGCTGGTGAGGAATACATAGTAGAGTTCAGTACCACTGGCTTGATTAGTGCAAAAGTACAGTAGTTTTTCCATCACACCTTCTCACCATCAGTGCAAATGTTAGCCTTTTTTCCTTTCATGAGGATGTTTATATACTTTTTTTTTGTAAATTCAGAAGCTTGTTAATTGTATCCTTAGTTAACTTCTTTTTTGAAACTTTCTTAGTCCTAGACTCAAATACTTCGCCCCTTCTTCCCCATACTGTTTAATCAATCCAACCTTTAAAATGAGAAATCATAGCCTGCAATTGTTAATATAGCCAGAAGCACCATCTTTCTTAAGGAAATATTTTCACCATCTATTTGGGGAACAAGTGACTTCAAAGTTACTCATAAATACCTCTGTTCATTTTTGGCTTACCCCTTTTTGCCATTCCTAATAATAGCAATTTCTCTTTTTTTTCCCCCTATGCTCCTTAAATCTTATTTACACCTCATTTTCTTATTTTCCATGGAAAATCTTGTCAAACAACATTATGGGTAAGTTCAAGTCCATACTACATATTTTTTTCAATTCCTTTTTCTTTATCCATACATAAAAAAATTTCCATTTATTTATTCAAGAATCTTATGCCCAACACTAATACCTGACTAGTGTTCTTGATTCTGTCTTCAGTATCATTCCTTCAATTCTATCTTCTGCTTCTGGTCTCTCTTCCTTGCTACTTCTTCAATGCTTATAAAACTGTTTCCATCTTCCTGTTATAAAATCTTGCATCTTTTAACTCTGTACATTGTTATATTCATTTATTTTTCTTTACTTTCACAATCTAAAACTATTTCAACCTCTTCATTTTTGTATATATTATCACTATCTTTTAAGCATCTGTAATAAAAATCTCAGAATTGTCTTCTGCTACTCCATCTCACTTATTATTCACATCCAATCATTTCTCAAATCTCATTGTTTAATTCAATTCTTTTGATATCTCTTAAATATTCTTTATTTCAATTCTTCATCTGCCTATACCTTCATCATCTTTCTCCATTATTGCAATGGAGACTAACCACTCACTATTACCTAAATATACTCTCTTTCAGCTTACCTTTTATACCTTTATAGAATTAATTTTATAAAACACAATAGAACTAAAAAATATTCAGTTTTGGTTCTTAGGAAGCTAAAAGACATACTTCAAAATTTTTGCCCGTCTCTTTAGAGTTTTGACTCAATCTGGTTTACTAGCTTCTCTTTCCACCATCACTCTCCAGTGCTAACTAGGGTCCAATTGTAGCAACACATGTACTCTTCCTGCTCACTTTCTGTTACTGGTTTTCTCTCAACCCGATGCACTATTCTCCCAATGAATGACAAAAAGAAACTCTTCTCATCTTTCAACTATACTTTATAAGTCATAACCCCTTTCATATCTCCAAATACAATGAATAACTTCATTATTAGTGTTTATTTAATTCTGAATTATGTGAGAATTATTTTCACATGATCATTTCCCTGTACCATATTTTATTTGCAATATGAATGTTTGATTTCTGAACTCCTCACAATTTTTGCCAAGGAATTCTGTACATTGTTTTTACGTCCACAAAATATATTTGGTAAATTTGTTCTTGATCATCTTATTCAATATCCTCATTGGTAACGTAATCTTTCAAAGTCATACCATTATTTATAGTAGAACTCAACCCAGAAAGCATGTTTTCTTATTCTTATTCAGTTTGCTTTCCTGACTGGTAAAAAAACTTCGATTTCAGAAGAATGATTGTAATCCCTTTCTCCAGTACATTTTTCCTTTGTATATTCCCATTTATAATAGAAGATTTAAAAAATAACCCAAGCAATAGCAAGTACTTTGGAATTCCTAATTAACTTATCTAAGTTTCATTTTATTGAGGGTTTCCTTTAAGTTTTATTAAATCAAATATATATGACTAAAGTTGCAAATTAATGCCTGGAGTAATTTGTTCCATCCTCATGTTAGGGCTTTTTACATCATTTATTTAATATTTCAAAGAACGTTTAAATCATTTATTAACTGATCTTTGCAGTACCCTTGCTGATAGAGTCAATTAGCTATGGAAGTACTGCTGGTTGGCAAGTGACAAGTAATATTATTTGCACATTACAAATGAAGAAACTAAAGCAGAGAGATGTTAATTGACTTGACCAGTGTCTTACACAGTCAGTGGCAGCACTAAACATCAGAATAAGGATCTGGGTTTGTTTACATCAAAATCACAAAAGCATTGAAAGCCTGCAGCCAGCAGTCATTTTTCTTACATAATACTTTCTAAATCCTTTGTCTAACCTCCTCCTTCACTAGCTCTGTATGAGTGCAATGAGGAAAGGTACTTTAAAAAGCTGTACCTTCTCATTAAACTAATATTTTCCCCCACATCAAGTAAATATTTAAGTTTGAAAGGATGTTAGAAAACCAATATATTTCTTTTCAAAAGCACTCATTATTAATTTTCCCATATTTAAAGTCATAATGAAGCCCAAGTTTTCTGCACTGTTCCTAGGCATTACTGACCAAAACAATAATGAAAGGGTTTTTATTGATGAGTATTTTATGCATAATAACAAAAATATAAAAAACAGACACATTAAAAAGTATATGAAAATGATATAATTTAAATTTCTTAACTCTATCAGTATGGTATTCTCATTTTCTCAGGTTTAAAGATGAAACAAGAGCAGTTTGGAAACCTTAAGTTACGAAACTAGTAGATGATTTACCACTTTCACAATATGTTACCATTTTCCAACATTTGTTTTGGGACATTAAATTCACTACATTTTCATTAAAGCTTGCTCTTGATATTTCTTTTAAAATATGCAAGTAATTCATATACCTTTTTGAGACGTTACTGCATAAAGTGATGGTCTGTTGAAACCTCTACGGAACCTGGATTTCTAATATTTTCATGTGATACACAGGTATTAATTAACACTACCATCTCTTCCTTGATTTCCATGCTTTTTTATAAACACTTCCTATTCCAACTCCCACATATCTTGGGGATGTTCTTTGAATTGAAATGTCTCACTGCGAGGACCGTTCAACCTTAGGATGGTAACGACATACTCCCTAGGGACTATGCCTTTGAGCAGAATCTCCAAAAATATTTAACACCCATGTTCCAAAACATGACAAACCTACAAAACTGAGATAAAACATGTTTAAATAACACTTTCAACACCAATATTAACACAACTAATCAAACGGAATGTCCATAAACTCTCAATAGTAACTTATAAATTATATTGAATATGTCATTTGGGTACATTGTAACATGATGTAGGGTGGAGCTTCCACCCCTCCTGGTATACGTAAGAAAGTCTGGGATCAAGGACTTACTCAGTGGAAAACTTGAAGGTAGTAGACTTTAGGATGAGAATCTTAGATTGCTTGCAGATTTCTAACTTGGATAAATGAGAGGGTGGTGTTTGGTGAATGCAAAATGAATAGAAACATGGAAAGTCTAAGAATGGCACTTTATGATATCACACAATACTACATTTAGGTTCAATGATCTTTTCTTTTCTGAATGAGTGAAAATGCATTAACATACATATCCTACACATGCTAATATCTGAAAGCAAGTGTTTATTATATATTTGATACAGATTTAAGTATCTAAATATCATGCTTAAATAATCCAGTATGCCTCTTCTTCAGTCAAAAAGAAACAGCTGCTATGGCTATGTTTCAGCATATTTTAAAGATATGTATAATCATTGCCAAGTTATCTGCTTTGCAGTGCTGGTTCCTATACAGTATTTATTATATTCCTTCACTACTGAAAATATCATTGCTCAGTATTACAGTGAATGTTTTTACTATACGCCTGTATATTAGAAATTAATTAGAACTAATCCTTTTAGCAGAATAGCAGTACAATGTCTGGCACACTTCTATTATTATGTGTTACTTCAGGGATTTTTCCATATGTTTGCCTTAAGTAGGACTTTCAGATCATTCACGCCTTTATTAAATCAGTGGGACAGGCTCTGAGAGAAGAAGGAATGCAAAAGAACAGCAATACAAGTTAAATAAATTTGAAATAATTAAGAAGAAAGTATTAAGTTGGCCATTGAGAGGACCATATGTAACATAAAATGGGTATATAAATCAATACTGTCAAATGAAATAATCCTCTAAAAGTATTTTGAAATATGAATGATAGAATTTTATAAAGTCACTATATTAATAAAATAAGAAAACAATTATAAAGTGAAAAGATAAATGATAGGTTTATTTATTTTGCCCAAGACAAGTTATTGTGTAAATTGTCTAAAATCACAATATTTTGTGATTAAAATCACTTGATTATCAATATTTAAATCTTTATTATTGACTCTACTATGAGTATTATAAACTGTCATTATGACTCTGTTCCATTATCACGGACATTCAAGAAAATACTTAAAATCATAAATATTGGTTTTGTATTTTCTCTTAATCACAGCATTTTTCTTTTTTATAACTGAATGTCATTTTTCCCCTGTGTTTATATTTCAATTTATATTGAAATATATATACACATTGGCATATATATCTTTAATATCTAGAGTAGGCTCACTCTGCCACTGGGAACATGTATCTACCTTGTTCGACTTTCCATTTTGAGGTCAGAAATGCCCTCAAAATTATTCAGTTGATTTTCAAGTGCCCACTATTTAAGAGCCAGATTAGGCCCATCTTACAATGTAATCTTTCTACATAATGTAGTTCATAGTTCATATCCATTTTATTTGAATTTAACTTAAATCTTGACTTAAGAACATTGTATTTCCTACTTATGATAATTGTGATATATGCTATGATGATTACTTAATTTATGTCACCTGGAATATTTTCCATCTTTCACACTTTTTGCACTTTAATTTTAATGGTATAATTTTTATCAGTCTCTTCGGCACACTTTGCACCCTGTTATTTTTCCTGTCAAAGTTCTCACTATTTATGTCTTTAGTTATAATATATTTTGTTCTGTGATATCTATATATCTTATTTTTCTTGTGTATGTATTTAAAATTTCACCTACCATGTGTGTTACTCTACTATAGTACAGGCCCATCTGATGAAGTTACAACAAACTGAGCAATCAAAAGATCTCGAAAGCAATGAAACAAAGTAAATAGTTAAAAATAAAAATTCTTTAATTAGTTAACCTTGTGGTGTAAATTAGAATTTCTTTGATACTTACATGACTAGAAGAGTTTTGTTTCATCATCATGAGTTAGTAATGCCTAACACTATCTAATTCCATAGTGTTCTGTGTAAAGCGTAAGTCCTGGTATATATCATATCTTCTAGGTTGTCATTGCTGCACTTGAAACTATACCAATTTCTTTAATCCACACCAAGTTTTAATATTTTTGTAACATAACCAAAGACTCTATAAATAAATAAATAGAATAAGCCCTTGCAAAATGGCTCAGAATAAAACAGTTTTAGTTATAAAATTAGAGCCATGCTTAGTTATACTTTCATATAAGTGCTGAATAAAGTGTTCAGTCTGGCTACATGTATAAACCACATAGGGTGATTTTAAAACTTATCAAAGGCTGACTCCCCTATCCAATCTGACTTGGGTCTCCATGATAATAATAGGTTTTTGTTGTTGTTGTTATTGTTGTTGAGAGTTGTATTTCACTGATTACAAAGGCAACACGCTAGTTGGCAAAATTTGATAGCAAGTATTCATGTACAGATACACCCCAGTAAAAATCGTGGACAAGGTTAATTATAACTTTTGAGTTTAAATAACTACCAACTTATTAAAGTACAAGCTACTGGGAAAAAGTTAAAGGCAAACTTTTTGGGTTTTTCATTTGTTAAAAAGAAGTCTTGTAGAATTTTTATTTATTTATTCATTTATATATATTTTTTGTTCACTTATTCATATGTGCATACATTGTTTGGATCATTTCTCCACCTTACCCCTCTCCCCCTAGAATTTTTAAAGAGATTAACATGAAATGGTAAAACACAAAAATCGTGGTGTTCTGTTTACTCCCTAGTCTGGCAATACCAGTAACAGAATTTAAATTAAGGAAGGCTATATTGTATTAGGTCTATTTAAACATTATCAACTTGCCATTCATTTTTCTAACAGATTAAATTCATTTTTTTCTTTCTTTCTCTACCTCCCCTTAATATATAACATCTTTACTCAGTACCTTGTCACTTTAAACTCCTATCTTCCATACTGTAATGTATTTCTATACTTAGCAATTTAACAGATAAACACTACAAATGTAGGCAGAATCATTTAAAGAAGAAAAGTATTCTCACAAAATTTTGAGATACATTTCCAAAGTGAATTACAAGAAAGTAAAAATTTAAAAATTGGTTGCAACTAATGTCAAATAATGTTATAATCTCTCTAAGAGGCAAGAGAAATGAGGTACAGAGACAATGTGGGGTGAAGGTGATGAAAACAAGCAGGTATTGCAATCTATTTTTGCCACATTTGATGGATTAGACGTCAGGGGATTGAGTTCCCTAATTATTACTGGTTTTCATTTAATGCTGGGAAAAATACTTAATTTCATTGGGCTTCAGTTTTTATGCCTCCAAAATGTGACTTCCCAGACTAGAAATATTTCAAGTATTTTTTAGGTCTAACAGTCCTGACCTTAGTGTCTGTGTGCCCTTTTTAAAGGCCAAGTTTTCACAAAAGACAGTATTCTTTCAAAGCCTTTGGAAGATGGGAAAGCTATATTTAGAAAGTCCATGTGGCATTCCAGTGTGTTCTCATGTCTTATTGCTATTTATAACCAGGTGTAGGCCAGTAGGACAACAGATTTGTTTTAACTAATAATTGCCCAGGTTTCTGAGAATGAAAAGTGTTTTTCATTATTTCCAAGTGTTTATTTAAGAAATTGTTGAAAGCAAGAATTTTAAAAATCTTATTTGCTGATTTCCCAATTGTTACATAGCCTGACATAGAAAATAATTCCAAAGGCAGCATTTCTGTTTGCACAGAGTTGTCATCCTGATGGTTTATCATAGGCCTCTTTTACATTAAAAACATCTTCAACTGTTTTAAGTTCCTGAGTGTGAGTGTTCCTTATGATTTGTTTTTCTTCTAATTTCATGCTAATTTACTCCAAATTGAATGCAAATAAAAATTTATAATAAATTCTTTTTTTTTTTTTTGGCAGAACTGGGGTTTGAGTTCAGGGTCTCACACTTGCTGGTCAGATGCTCTATGACTTAAGCCATTCTACTGCAGAAATTTATAAATGCTTTAAGAAGGTATTTTTATTCTTATTAATCTTGTTAGTATTATTTTAATACAGAGGACTTTACCAATTTCATAGAAGTTTGACAGAACAAAAACTACAGAAAGCAAAACAACATTAAGAAAGAAAAAAACCCTAAAACCTCAAATTGAAAATGAAGCATTGTTAGAGTTATAAGGTGCTAATGAAAGAAATCAGCACAAACAGACTAGGAGCAAACTACCATCTAAAAATCCATTAGCTGTACTAACTCTCAAGAGAAAGATCATTTGGGTCAGGGAATTTTCCTTTTTTGTTCACAATTTTTTAAACAATATCAAGCTAACAGAAAAGTTAAAATGACAATAAGAAACAATGTACTTCCCGAAACATTTGAGAGTAAGTTGCCAACACCATCCACTATCAACACCAAATACTTTAAAATTTCCTAATAACACACAACTAAATATATCCATGGAAATCAGAAAATTTACACTGACATATGACTGCACTGCTATTTAATCCTCAAATTACTTTCACGTTTTGACAGTTATCTTAATAGCATCCTTCACATCTAAAGGGTCAGTTCATATTCATGTAGGTTCATTCATGCTTTATCTGTTTAGGTTCTTTAATCTGGAAATTTTTTTGAGCTTCTTTTGAATTTTATGGACTTGAAACTTTTAAAGATTATAGATCAGTTACTTTTATAGAATTTAGCTATTTGTGTTTTTTCCAGATTGGATTCAGAATATGTTATACTGTGATGCTTTGTTTTATCAATTGCATTCTATCAGCTTTGACAAACTTAAAATTTGTATTTTGCTTGGATATGAATTTTACTTATTTCATTAAGACTGTCACCTGTTTGTTCCACTGTAATGCTATTTGTTTCTCCTTCATTATTAATATTTCTGGTAAGGTATGTTGATTATATAAATATCAAAGTGTTAATTAATTATTTATATCAGTGTTAATTCATAGACTTTTTTCAGTGGAGTATAATCAGTTATTATTTATTTTGAGGTTTAGATTGTTCAAAATTTACCCAGTGGAAATTCCTTCAATGTGGCTTATATGTCTTTTGTCATTTCCCCATCTTTCTTTGATATTTATACTTCTTAGAATAATACTATTTTCTAGGACCATTTTATATTTTTCCTTTTCTGGCTCTGGCATAGACATTTCTT